CCTCTGGTCTGGCAGAGAGCTAAGAATATTTGGAAAAACAGAAGAGTAGATGGGATCCTCCATGCAAGTCCTCACTCTCAAAGATGTCAGGCTTGCCATTTGATCACTGGGTAGCACAGATGAGCAGAAAGCTTAGTGTAACACTGGCATCTGGCAGCTCCAGTATTTCTGTGGTATCCCATGGCTACACAGACAGTTTCAAAAGAGGTGTAGAGAGTGGATTGCCTTCAAAATTTCCTACAAAAATGGAAAACTTACATGCAGAGAATCCCTTATTTACTATTCTGGACTTATCCGTTTGGAAAAAACATTTCTCTTCTACCCTTATCTTATCTATCTAGTGTAGAAAATAAGTTACTGGTACACCTCACTGCTGGAAAGCAAATTGTTATTGCAGCCAAAGGGATGTAAGCGGCTGGCCAGAAGTGTGCCACTGATCTCGTGGAACTGGGAACTGGCACTGGAAGTCCTTCTGCATGCCCTGTGTCTTACTTCAGTAAGCTTTATTGGAGGATATATGTCTAGTATAAAGCACAAGTTGGAATCAGCTCATTTTGTTCCTCTTTATTACTGACAAGCCTTCTGTTAACAGGAATGTGGGTAGAAACTTTTCATACTGTTCAGTCAGCTCTGTTTATTTGTATATGTTTCATGGACATGCTTAAGGTCTCCCTGAACCACTTGCAGATACAGAGCAACAGTCCCTCTGATACCCACATTTATCCTTCGGGCTCTGGGCTGAGTGCCCTGTTGTTTCTGTCTGAATGTTTATGTTCATGGCTAGAAGGAATAGAGAGAGAGAAACTGCTTGTGAAAAACAAACAGAAAAATCCCAAATGTTCAGGTCTGTTCAAACTGATATACACAGAGCAAACCAAATGCACACTTCCCATTAACAGCTGTTGCAGGACCAACTGGGGGATCTCACACCTGTTTTGTGAGTTCTCCTAATATGACAGTAATTATTTATTTTTTCTGTTAGAGAAGTCATGATGAGTTTAATACAATGGTAACTAGGGGAATATCCCACACCAAATAATAGAGCTATTTTAAGTTACAGCACATTGGTACCTAAATTGCCTGATATTTTTACTTTGTGTATATTGGTCATTAATTTGAAATTGCTCTGATTCCTATTGATCGGTTTCATCTGAAACACAAGCATCTATTACACAATATTGATTTTTGCATCACCTTCTGGCCAAGTAGGTTAATTGAATGGTGCTTGGGGAAACTGTTTCAGATACTGTCTAATATTCGCCTTCGAAGAGCTGATGGAATTATTTGACATTTAGCCAAGATATCTGCTAAAACTGCAGCTCGAGCAATGAAACTGTGTAACTCAGGTAGTGATTTAAGTTGCATTTTGAAGGAAATTTATTTGCCATTTGATATTTAAGCAAGATCCAGTTTCTGTTGGAGCCAGTGGGAGTTTTGCCATTGTTTTTGCAGTTTCCCTCTGGACTATGGCTGTTTTAGGGAACACAGTGTAGCACAGTCCTGGTACTCTACTGTTAGAAAACCCTGCATTTACAGCAGTGCCATGCATTGCACATGACGTCAGGGCACACAGGTCAAAATAGTTTCTTTTGGTTCTGGATTTTAGTACAAATTCAAAACCTAGTGTAGGTTTCATTCAACACTGAGCAGTGTGCTTATTTATCAAACAACTGGTGTTGCCTCATTAAAAAGAAAGAAAATATTCCTAATGCTTCACCTTCTCAAATACCTATGTGAAAAAAGAGGAAACATTTTATCAGTTACTCTCACTGAATATTCCCCACAGTCTTGCATTTATTTGTAAAGCATTCTGGAAGAGACAACGTGTTAAAGCTTTCTTTGGAACAGCCTCCTCCCAGGAAGCACACTGTAAGATGTTAATTACAGACTGTAAAGTAATGGACCATTTCTGTGGAATAATAACTGTTTCCCACCATCTGCTGAGATGTGTATCTGTCAAGAACGATCAATATTATCTGAGTACTGAAAACAGAAGAAGAAATGAAAAATTATTTCTGTTTCTTCTTTCTGTAGTCAGTGTCCTTATATCTCAAGACCAAATGTTCCACTGTCAGCAGGTTGCTTTTCAATCATCTCTCTTCAAATACAAACATTTACTTGTGAAGCACAAGGTACACGAGTCAATTCTGTGGGGGTGATAATGCTCGTGCTGTATCTTGTCTCTTGGGTTCTTTCTTGCAGCTGTGATTGCTCTGTTGTGGTTCATTAGGTGGTTCCTGGCATTTGTGCATTTCTCTGGCCTCACTCTGCCCGTGCAAAAGGCCACAGAAATAAACAAGATGAGGACAAATCTGTTTCAGTAAAGATTTCTTCTCCTTCTCCAGGAACTTTTTTTTTTTTTTAAAAAAGTGAATCCTCTGTATAGAATTAATATACTGAACTGATTTCGTTTGTTAATTTCATTAAGATGCAAAGGGAAAATACAGATGAAGCTTATAGAATGTGAGTTACCAGACGGTTAGGATAAGAGAAGCAGGTTGCAAAGTCCAATACAACATCTTTTCCTCCATGATTTACAAGTGACAACTCAATAGATAAAAATAGATGTGCTGGCTTTGCCAATGAAATTTGACTGTTTTCCAATCTATGTGTTATAATCCATATAAAGGATAAAACAATTCCATTATATATCCCTAGAATAATTTACTTGTTTATACTCTGTTGAGAACTTAATCAATCTACATAAAATTACACTTTCCTTCTGTTGGAAAGTACTGACACATGAGAGATATTTATATAAGCCAGATTTTTCAGGTGAGGTACCTTTCATAAGCAGTCTTTGCTATCCACATTCCCAAAGAGAGAACAGTGGACTTCATTCTTCATTCTTTCCAAATTCCAACTCCACTGCCTTAACTGCAGAGCTGTTGTGCCAGGTCAGCTGGCCACAGAGCCACTGTTCAAACTCTCCATGAAAAATAAAATAAAATCAAGTGGTAAATCGGTTTACTTCCAGATGGAAGTAGATGACTCCTTACTGCAAAATGATTCCTTAAATGGTCACAGGCCTGGAGAAATATTACGTAGTGGCCTACCTAAGGATGCCCAGCATTGAAGTCTAAGCCAGTTGTAAATTTAGGTCAGAATATGCTACAAGCTGACCTGATCTATTCTCGGAAAAAGACTCTTTGCTTCTCAAAGAGGAAAAATTTTTGCAAGGAGTGGAAACAATGAAACACCAAAAATACAATGGAAAACTGGGTTTTGCCTCAGACAGATTAAAATTTGTTCACAAACACTTTCTTGTCTTTCTAACTTTAAATAATAATAATAATAAAGCTGATTTTATTGAGGGTATCAGTGGAAAAGAAACTGATTTTCCAACTCTTGTTATGCCTGCCTGCTATTGGACCTGTGGGAACTTCTTAAAATAGGCAACCTTTGCCAGAAGAGATCCAAGAGTGAAGCAAACACAAAACAATTCTGTGCTTTACATTTATTCCATAGCCTACTGTCCATTTAGTTAGTATATTTGTAGCTTTTGTTTTATGGGTGTCATGACCTAAGGAATCCTTTAGGTCATGAAAACAGGTAATGGTTCACTTCTCAGCCTTTTGAAAAACACAGCAGAATTACTTAGAAGAAGGTGGAACTTTGGAAGGCTTTGCAGAGCTGAATTGCACAACAGCCCCAGATCCAGATTGCACAGGCTTGGTATTTTCAGCCTTTACTAGTGGAAACTCAGATACTAGCAGTAAAACATGTAGAAAGGTGTCACATTTAATATGGATTTACTTGTATTTGGATTATACCCTCACCCTACAGAAAAGAAATACCAATGCATGGAAGTGTTTATCAGAAACAATTCTGATTATTTCTATTTATACAGCCTTTATAACTTTCCTGTGAACCTCAGAAGGAAAGTAAATTAAAAGCAGAGACAAACTTAGCTAAAGCCACAAAAACATGACAGCAAAGTGCACATCTACTGAGATGACCTAAACCCAATGCTTGCATTAGCTCTTTCCTTAGGTTCATTCTAATGTTAAAAGCCTCCTGTTGCCTCCAAGAATTTCACTGGCTCCAAAAAACATGTGTTTGGATTTAAGAAATCATATGTGGAATGTAGAACTAATATATAAGCAGGGGCTGTTTGTTTTGTTGAGTGATTGATTCTATGATTCTATTTCTAGTTGAAGAATATCAATCTTTTTGGAGGATTTCTTAACTTTCCTGTTAAACAGAGTCAGAGTTTCATATGAATTTGCCTACCTATAGAACCAGATTTTCCACAAGTGAAGCAACATGGAACAAACTGGGAATAGTGTGATTTACAAGTAAATTTTTTGTGACATGTAATAGTACTCAGGCTGTTTAGGATTTATAAACACACATAAAAGGAATAAATATCAGATACTCCATCAGGGACAGAAGGAAGGGAAAAAGCTGGACAGTGTCTTTCTCTCAGATCCTGACAGACACATAGTGCAATTTAGAACAGGTTAAAAAGTTGTGCTGTAGCTAATATTTTTCCTTCTAGTTTTCTGTAAGTCTGGAAAACAGAGTGCTAACTGAATTCTGAATTGATGTGCTCTTCTTTCATCTTTGAGCCTAATAAATGTCTTGTAGAGTGAGGTCTAGAACTGGGCTTATTATACCAGTGCTGCAAAAGTGCACGATTCCCAATATTTTAGATATGGAGTTTTTCCCCAAAACACGGTCAGGCTACTTAAGGGCAATTTATGTGAAGGGAGAAAGAGAGGTTCTCTTCTTCCCAGGCTTTATTAAAAACTGAGGAATACTAGGTGAGACATGAAAAAGGACCAGCCAACCTATTGCAGCTGCAGTGCTTGCAACCCTGATGAGAAATGATCATGGATTGTACTGGTTCTGCTGCACCCAAGTTAAAATAAACTATGGCTGTGTGTTGCAAGTGATGCATGTAAAATCCTCTTGTCAGCTGATGTGTATGGTACAGTGCATTATATGATTCACATGTGTTGGTAACAGATATTTGCAATGTTGTTTTGTGTGTACAGGATACAGCTGTGAGCTGGTGCTACACTGCAAAGTGATACAATATACTGCTGAAGCCATTGTCAGAATTTCAGTCTGAAATTTTGAGATATAAGGACAAGTGCAAAGAGAACTACCTGACAAGTCTGAAAGGTAAGGCTACGGGCCCCTTCTGTCTAACAAATACACCTATGTGTACATACACAGATTTTAGTTATCAGCTTGCTACCTTGAGCTACTGTGGAGTCCATTGAAATACGAATAGGTTTACTCAGCTTTTACTTACATGTGGCTGGATTTTCAGAAGAGCTCATGTACCATTTCATTACATAATGAAATGGATAGGATTTTAAAATTTCTTCTGTCGACCATGGTGACACACTGAACTGACCTGTTCTGATTATTTATCCCCCTTTGGAGTGCTCTGACATGGATTGCGTTCAAATAGTAATTTGTAATTGATCTCTCTCTGTATCCCATCGGGTCTGCCCAATGCTTGTCAGTTCTATATATTGCAAGACCTGTTTTTCTTTAAAAAACAAGAGGGTTGTTTACTGGGATAAGTATAATTACATTCTACCAGTTCTGGTATGACAGGAATTTGAGGTGGAGCAGTGCATAGTTCAGAGTCCTCCTGGGACTGTAACAAACACAAGTTCTGCCTGTGTTTATCCAGATAAATAATATTTATTTTTTGTTGAGAATGAACTGGCCAAACCAGAGCTTCTTAAGTTTGCTGTGGTGTAATAAATCCAAAATCCAGCTTGAGTTTTTTATCCAGTACATAGGTCAAAGGGTGAATGTGCTGAGCACCTGAGATCAGCTCCCCACTGAAATCTGTGGATCCAGTTGTTGAGTTCTAATTCAGTTCTTGCTCAGGCAAAATGATGAGTCGTGATCCAGCTTTGTAGGCATCACATCAAACACAGTCTGTCTGGATTTGGCTAGTATCAGTTGCTTCTCTTGTTTTAAGAGGTAATTCCTTGAACTTATCTACACATGGCTACCATTACTTATGCATTTGATAACTTCAACAAAAGTTTTGAGTACCATGTTTCAGAAGCATCAGTCACTGCTCAGAAAGATTCAAGGTCATAGAGAACAGCATGCCTTTGTGTTGCATGAGAGCTTTTAAACATATTGCTTGACCAACTTGAAGCTGAAGTGCTGCGTGAATCACTGACCTTGAGGGAATCCTTCTGGTAAACATCACTGTACCTGCTAAATCTTTGAGCTGTAATTGGACTTTGTTAACAAGGATGCTGTGTGTGGCATTCATCAAGGAAGGTTGATAAACCACTCCAAATGAGAAAGTGAACCTACCAGTTTAATTTTAATCGCTGACATTGGTCATGGATCACTGCTTGGTCTCTGTTTTTTTAATTTCAGTAGAATAGTTATTGTAATTTGCAAGAACGCTGCCTTCTGCTTCCTCCTGAATTTGCCCTTCAGCATGCATTTGTTGCAGTAACATTTTGAACCTGCTGAGTCCAAGTGTGTTTATGATTTGAGTAACATTACATACATTCTTTAAATCAAGAAATTAAAAAGCATTGCAGTTTGCTTGTCCTTTTTTAATAGAGGATATGCTATTTCAAATTTTGTCAGTGTTCATTATGTAGTCTTAAAGGCAAATGAATTATAAACCATGAAAAATACAAACACATTAACTTCAGAGTTTTTACAAAACTAAGGACTGTTCATTTTACTGGGGGTAATTAGGACCTATTGACCTCATCTTAGCATGTTACTGAAGTCACTGCAGAAAACTCATCATTTTCTGTGTCACGGTACAAGTTTGGTTTGCAAAGTAGCCTCGCACTATGCAGTCTGGCTTCATTTTTGCATAGGTGCCAATGCATAATGTCCTCATGGGAGGATATTATGGAAAAAAAATGAATTCTGCATTCATTCTGTGGTCATTACTCACCTCGTATCAAAATAACTTACAATAAAAATTATTTTTTTCAATGATTCTGAAATCGTCCAGAACTTTGCTAACACTTTTAATTAACAGAGTACCAACTGATGGGAAAAAAAAAATCAACAACTGGTAGAACACAGATGGCTGAATACGTTGTTGTAAACTGAATACATTTTTAGTTGTTATTAATTACGATATTTTGAGTAAATTTGACTGAAGTTACAAAGCAGTCACCTCCTAAAGCTGCTTCGTATCTCCACACAGGTATTTGTGCTATATGCATGTCATCCCATTCGCCATTTACTTGTGAGTAGAGTTTTAATCCATTGTTCTCACTAGGAGCTATTTGGGAAGCTTTCCAACAAAAACTTTTAATTGTTAGCATTATTGATTACAGAATGAAAAATACCCCATATGTCTAATTCATCTCACAGTTGTAATAGCTGATCCCAGCTACTTTGACAGTTAAACCTTTACTGCTGATTTGGTCTGTAAGACCTAATCTAACTCCCTTCCATATTGCAAGTACAGTTGCATATTCCACAAATCATCTTCAGATATATTTTGGTGAATCATCTTGCTGTAAACTGCTTGATCTCCACATAGCACTTCAGCATCATTGCTGGTGAATCATTCTGGCATTTGTACCTTATGCATTCTTTCCAGAACAGAAAAGGTTGGGGTGTGTGGTTGGGTTGGCTGGAGGTACAGGAGTGGAGATAAAGGCTGAGAAACTCTTAGGAATATAACTGGGCTTTTGAAGAGAAGTTATGAATTATGCTTGGTTATTACTTGAACTAAATTCAAATGCCTATTTAGGGAATATTTGGACAATATACAGTGTAGACAGAAAATGGAAATTATGCCTGCTCATACTAGTGGAAGGCATAAACACCCAAATTGAAGGCTTGCTTAGGAAAAGTACCTGAAGGGGGTAGATGCAGTGTTTTGTTTCCTTTGCAAATGATACTTTCTAAGTAAGGAAAATGTATTTTCAGGAAGACAGATTTAGCTGAGTGTTCTAGCAGTCTAATTTTGGTTAATCATCAAAAACTTCAGCAAAAATACTACAAACCTGTGTTGAATAAAACAGGTGAGTACTATTCTGCTGGCATAACTTGGATTGGTAGTTGAACTTAAAAAATAAAAATTTCATATTAAAACTATTTATCTGCTTCCAAGTATGATAATTCTAGAACTGTGGATTAGCAAAATCTCAGAGTTCAAGGAAATCACATAGAAGACGAACTGCTTACTAGCAAGGCTCTGCCTCCACGTGATCCTTAGGTATTTTGAAGAACGAATAGATTTGTGAAGCATAACTTTTCCCTAAATAACCATGTTGAGTCTGCTCTAATATGTCATGTTTAATCAAGTATCTACCTTCTTTGTTATAGTTTCTACCAATTTTTGTAGGGCAAACATCAGATTTACTGGTCCATTGTTCTGAGGATCCATTTTGGAGCTCTTCACAGAAAACCAGCCCCACATTCGCAACTTTCTATTCCTTGAGGACAGAGCCTATTGTAATTTACAAATTACGTGCCATCATTGTTAGTATGCACATAAACTGGCACACAACTTGACGATTAGTTGCTATTTGTTTTATGGATTTGTTCTAAAACCTTTTGTACTGACATTTCACTTCATGACCTTGTGGCCAAGAGGGCCAATGGCATTCTGGGATGCATTAAAAAGAGCGTGGCCAGCAGGTCAAAGGAGGTGATCCTCCCCCTCTACTCTGCCCTGGTGAGGCCTCATCTGGAGCACTGCATCCAGTTCTGGGCTCCCCAGTACAAAAAAGACAGGGATCTCTTGGAAAGAGTCCAGCGCAGGGCCACGAAGATGGTGAAGGGCCTGGAGCATCTCTCCTATGAAGAAAGGCTGAGTGAACTGGGTCTGTTCAGCCTTGAGAAAAGAAGACTGAGAGGGGACCTGATCCAGGTTTATAAATATCTGAGGTGTGGGGGGCAGAATGGCGAGGCCAGACTGTTTTCAGTGGTGAGTGGAGACAGGACAAGGGGAAACGGCTGGAAACTGCAGCATTGGAAATTCCACACAAATGTGCACAAGAACTTCTTTAGGTGAGGTGACGGAGCACTGGAACAGGCTGCACAGGGAGGTGGTGGAGTCTCCTTCTCTGGAGATGTTCAAGACCTGCCTGGATGCCGACCTGTGCGACCTGCTGTAGGGAACCTGCTTTGGCAGGGGGTTGGACTCGATGATCTCTGGAGGTCCCTTCCAACCCCTACAATTCTGTGATTCTGTGTGACATATCCTCCATTTCTTTCCCTTTTAAGAAAGGTTGTAATATAAGATACTTTATAAACTTCTTCATGTTGATCAAAGACATGAAGAGTTTGTTTAATTTTCTTACAGCCTTGTCTTCTTTTGATGCACACTGCTTGCTCGTTGGCCTTGCAGATTTTTGGCAGAACTTCTTGCTTTTGATGTGTATGAAAAAGGATTACATTCATAGTGTTTCTGCCTTAGTAAAATGTTTCTCAGAACTATTTTGATTTGCCTTGCTTTCTTGTTAAATCTCATAGCCAAAGTATATTTTTCTCCCCTGTTCATTTGAAAACATTTTCATTTTTTTGGAGGATGTCTTTGTGCTTCTAACTTTCTATTGTTGCCTTGTTATTAAGTATCCTGGACTCTTTTGATCTTTCCAGAAGTATTTCTTTAAGTGATATTCATTTGTTCTGACTATCTCATATTTCTAATGTGTCTTTGAGGAGTTACGTACTGCATGCAAACATTTTACATTTCTTGCTACTGCCTTTATTTTTTTAAATATTGTAGTGGTGGATTTCTGTTTCTTGGTCTCTGTGTAGAACTAAATACATTTTGGCCACTGTGTGCTGCTCTCACAGTAATGTCTCACATACAACTTGCTATGAGGGAAAGAATTTTCTTCCTGCTTTCCCCAATTAGATGGTCCCAACATGAAGTCATTGCTCTAAAGCAATATCTGGAATTTTGTGTCATCTTTAGAAGAAGCTGAGAATGAGTTTCACACCTGTATCCATCTATCATTTGACACTTCACTGAGTAGTGACTGGTGCTAAGGCAGGCAGGCAGGCAGCAGCATGGAGAATCTCTGAATTATTCACCTCCCTACCTTACAGAGGAAAGTCTGCAGTGAATCCTGCTGGAAAAGTAGGATTCTGATCCTACCTCCAGTGATCATAAAGTATTTGTGAATGAAAAAAAAAAAGTGTATCTGTAGACAGAAATCCTGACCTGACAGAAAGGTTGTTTGAACGAATTAGCTACTTCAGTTCTTACTATTCCTGGCTTTATTCCTAAAGTGTTACTTACTTTACTGGAGAAGACACTGATAAAAAAAGAGATTAAAAAATCTTTTTCTCAGTGTGTTTGAAAGATGGAAAACTGCACATAGTCTGCCAGCAGAAAGGCTTTGCTAAGCCTGTTCCAGGCTCCACAGGTGCATATGAGTAAATGAGGGGGTAATGCAAATGAGCATTTGTCACAGCTCTGTTGTTCAGCGCAGGCAATTCACAGTCTCTGTAATAACACAAATGTAATTCCTTTGCTCAATAGGGATTTATAGTGGTCATTTCCTACAAATTGAATCCACAGAAAAGGAACACAGCACTGTACTTTTCAGACGCATTGGCACCTGTATGAAGAAAATAAAGAGGAAATAGAGAATGAAGATAACAGATAGGGGTAATTCTTAGTAATCCAGTGTAGCAAGGATATTTATGTGGTGAAGATAAAAGATCAGGATTACAGTTTTTGGTTCTGCAGCTGTCTCCCTTTGTGATCTGGAACAAATCACGTATCATTCCAACACCTTGCTTTTCTATTTGGAAATTGATGATACTTCTTTTTTTATTATTATTATTATGAAGCACTTCTATTAATTTAAAGCAAAGAAGGAATGTGGTAATGTAGTGACACGGCAACAGACTTGAGATTTCAAACGGGAAGGCGTCTGAACTTTTCTGTTAAGCAATCTTCAGGGAGCAGATGTTAATCCAGCGGGTCACGTTGTTTCTCAGCTTTACAACTCCTACACAGCAATGACAAATGAGCACGCAGCTGACGCTGCTGGACGTGATTCAATCTACCAAAGGGCACGGCCTCAGATGCCCTGACCCAAATTCCCCGTCCGCTCCCCAGCAGTCCCCGAGGGGTGCGCAAGGGCGAGCGAGAGCAGATCTGAAACAGGTGGGAAAAACAGAGACAGCGACCCGGTTTTACGTCCGCAGCCCTCCAGCCGCAATAAGGGGCAGCAGGGAAAAGATCATTAAATTAAGCACAACGGAGCCATGCCCTATGCCGCTCTACACTTGAACCACATTCAGTTCTTCACAAGTCAGACGGCCGTGACCGTCGCAGTCTCGAACCGGCGGCCCCGAAGGCAGCGAGCGGCGGGCCGGAAGCGCTCTTGGCTGAGCGCGGCCGGAAGTGGCGGCCGTTGATCGTAGCGCACTTCCGCCGCCCGCCTCGCGCCGGGAGGGGCCTGGAGCGCCTGCTGCCGCCTCATGGCCGCCTCTGTGGTAAGTCCTCGCGCCGCCCGCCGCGCCGGGGGCAGCCTGGGCTGGGGCTTAGGCTCGGTTACTGCTGCAGGGTCCTCGCGGTGGAGCGGGAGGAGCCGCTGGTCAGGGCCATGGTTGCGAGGCGGGGAGCTGCGGCCTCGCACAGAGGCGGCCCGGAGCGGAGCGCGGTTCCGCCTGGCCTTCTCCGTCCCGGGCCCGGGCGCAGCGCTTCTGGAGATGAGGGGATGCCCGCGTGGGGCGAGCGGCGGCGGAGGGGAGAGAGGGACAGCGGGTGGTCTCTGCTCCTTAGCTGCTCGCGTTGCCCGAGCGGCTCTGACTGCCGTCGGCCGGTGGCCGGCTCCTCCTCCTCCCCGTCCCGCCCTCTATGTGGGCACGCGGGGTTCGGGGCCCGCGGGGTTCGGGGCCCGCGGCCGCCTGAAGCTCAGTACTCCAGGCCGTGGGCTTGTGAGTTATAGGACGCCTGAGCAGTCTGTGGCAGAAGGGCTTCGGGCCCTGAATAGGTGGTGGAGTATTAAAGGGAAAACTAATTGTCATCAGAGTCTTCCAAAGAAGTAGTAATTTGAGTACCACGTTCTTGTTAAATGCAGAGAAGAAAGATTTCCCTGTGAGCTGGTTGGGTGTTGGAATGGCAGCAGTGAGAAACTGAAATCTCCATCCTTACAGATGTTCAAAATGTGATTAGAGGTAGGACTCCAAGTAGTCAGGCCTGTCTTGGAAGCTAGATCAGACCTCAGAGCTGACCTTTGAGTGAGAGGCCAGATCAGATGTCTGAGGAGGTTTCTAAATATGTGTACAGGGTTACCATTAAAAAGAACTTGTTCTGAGTATTAAAACTTATGCAGCTTATTTTCTGTTTGACTTAAATCCCTATAAAATCCCCAGAGACTTTCAAGGCGAGGCTGGATAAGGCCCTGATCTAGCTCTCCCTGTTCATTTCAGGAAGTTGGACCACGTGGCCCTCAGAGGTCCCTACCAACTCTAGGGATTCTATGATTATACATTACAGGTTCCCTAACTGCTCTTTGTTTTACCCTGGTGTTTCTCTGTTGGTCTCCATCACACCTGTTCTGTCTGTGCAGTGACTAACTGGCAGCATGTTTGGCTCCTGGTTAGAAAGCGTGTGTGCAAATGCATGCTGATGGAGTAATAACAGCCATCTGCCCCAAATAACTAACCAGTCAGGTTATGATTACTGCTCACCAGTGGGTGCTCTGACACTCCTTATCTCACAGTGTCACAGTTTCTGTTGGCACTTGCAGGAATATAGTGCCTTTGGCTTGAGAATTGGCCTCTGGGTACAGAAACTGTTGGAGGAGATGGAGAAGGACAGTGTCATGTCCATCCACAGGGAATTTTAAAAAGTAGTAATGCGAGACAGTTTGTCCCTATAGAGTAAGCAGAGGTTATTTGATATGCTGGTGAGTATTTTGCAGCATGGAAATTTTTCCAAGTAAAAGTGTTTCTTGGGGTAATGTAGGAACTGGTGGTAGTTTTGGTATGTATTCATTAAAGACAACCAAGAAAAATAACGGAGTTGTGATGTACTGATGGGATTATAAATGTTGAGAATGTAATGTTGAAATAGAAGAATGAGAAATTATAACACTTTAAACAAAACATCATTAAGAAACGAAATTAAAGATTACAAGTAGCTTGCTCTGTAAGTATTGCCTCCTATGTGTTTTCATGGGAACTACAACATATACAAGGAACACAATAGCGCTGTGTGATTGAATCACAGAATCACAGAATTGTAGGGGTTGGAAGGGACCTCCAGAGATCATCGAGTCCAACCCCCCTGCCAAAGCAGGTTCCCTACAGCAGGTCGCACAGGTCGGCATCCAGGCAGGTCTTGAACATCTCCAGAGAAGGAGACTCCACCACCTCCCTGTGCAGCCTGTTCCAGTGCTCCGTCACCTCACCTAAAGAAGTTCTTGTGCACATTTGTGTGGAATTTCCAATGCTGCAGTTTCCGGCCGTTTCCCCTTGTCCTGTCTCACACACTGCAGAAAAGAGTCCAGCCTCGCCATTCTAACAAGTTTTCAACTACAAAACACTGTTTTCCACCACAGTCACCACCATTAGCTGTGCTTTTTCACTAGTGATGAACAAGAGCCTGCATGCTGAGCTGTCACTGCCACCACTGCTGCAATGCACTGCCCCCCCCACTGTGCTCACACCCACTGATTGGTCTCCAAAAACATTCAGCAAGCGTTGATGAGTGGCAGTAGGTGCCATGTCTTCCACACAGAGGAATTCAGTTCCACTTCTTTGCTTCATCCTCACTTCCATGTCAGGCTGCCCTTCTGCTGCCATCTGTCACATGGCACAAAATGTAATGGGATATTGGTGGGAAGGTTCAGCTCTGCTGCTGTACCACCACCATCTGCCTCTGACACAGTGAACCAACATCACAAAATAGGAGGCATTGCTTTTGGAGTAGTCCTCACAGGTCTGTAGGCAGGAAATTGAGATATTGCTGTTCAGTAAACAAACTGAGTATATTACCAAATGAGATCCCAGTTCAGTATTGTGACATCAAATGATTAAAAAAAGATGTGAGAGGTGCTTAGTTCTTGTGGATGCAGAATTGGAGTGATTAATAGTAGTAGAATGTTCAGCATGCCAGTGCGCACTCTCTTTCCCTGCTATATGTCCAAGTAGAACTATTATTACTTTTTGCATATATCTCTCTTTCTATAGAAATACTTTAAAATACCCCTATGAATTTGGTTTAAAAAAATCAAGTGTCGTGGTGTGATGGAGTTCATTTTCAGCAACGTGTTGGATACATTTCGTTCCTTTAACTCAGAGCATCCATCACAGAAAGCAGCAGCTCTTTTCACTGAATGCTTGTGCATTCACAACGCTTCAACCAGCTGCAGCCCATTTTCCAATGCAACCATTTTCAATTTCAATACAATAAATAAACCAGCATTCAGAGATGAGTCCTAAGGCTTGCTGGAAGCTAATGAGATACTTCCAGGAAGTAGAAAAGCAGTTTGCAATCAGTTTCAGCATTGCTTGACGTCATCTTTCAGTGAGAGTGGAGAATACAGTGATTTTGGCTGCTCACTAGTGAGAGCTACTGCTTAGATGGCTAGTTTGCACAGAATATAAATAATAATATAGTATATTGTAATTAAATATGAAATGAAAAAATACTTAAGCTTTTTGTCTTTTTTTATTTTTATTTTTTTTACCTCCAGGATTTCAAAACCTATGTGGATCAAGCCTGCAGAGCTGCAGAAGAATTTGTCAACATTTATTATGAGACTATGGATAAAAGAAGAAGGGTATGTACATGTTTTACCAATACCTTGAACTGTTTTGGATAGTTTCATGTGCTTTTCTAGCTACCATTACACTTGAAAGTAAGTCTTCAAGTACTTACACTTGAAGTTGGTTCCTGTGAATTGCATTGGAGCAGAGGTCTCAGCTTGGCCTCCTAGGCTGCCCTGTAAAGGATTGCTTTGTGTTACTGCACAGCATCGTTCAGAAAGGGACCCTGTTAGCAATTACCTCACTGTTCTCCAGCATAGTAGTTCAGTTCAAATCCAGATACATGTTAGAGGTGCAGAATTTGTTAGCTGACTTCTGAGGTACCATGTATTATAGTTGTAATTTAAAAAATGTAGGTGAACGTGAAAGTATCAGCAGCTGCATGTTACTGCATAGTCATATTGTGCTCAGGCAGGATAGGCACAGATGTAGCAACAGCTCCCTTGAGAGGTAATGGCCCATAAGCTGCAGCTTATGAAATACTGGGAAGGTTCTGCTCTGCTGCACATAATTGTCTTCTTGCATGGTTCCACTGCTCCCAGTCTTGTTTCTTTTTACCTGAAATCATACTTTCTGACTATTGGTGTTGCATTTGTGTGCACAAAATCGGTGGTGAGCCTATTCTGCCCAGGTAGTGCTTTCCTTTCGTTAGCAAGCAGCTCAGTTACATCACTAGGAAATGCCATCAGTATTGAAATTTAGAGGTACAAGTCACTTTACTAGTCATGAAGCAAAACGTGCTTCTATTTCAATTTTTGTTCAGGAGCACTATTTTTTAGAACTTAATAATTGAGGAAGGCATTTTATTTCCTCAGGGAGCAGAAGTAATTGGTAATACAAAACATTGTTTCAACTCCTGTGTTGAGACGTTGTGCACTGTATGTGCTTACCCTCTGTCCCCAAATATGTCTGTTTGTGATACCTCAGGCTCTGACCAGGCTGTATTTGGACAAAGCAACATTAATTTGGAATGGAAACGCAGTCTCTGGACAAGAGGCACTGAATGAGTTTTTTGAAATGTTGCCATCCAGTGAATTCCAGGTTAATGTGTTGGACTGCCAGCCTGTTCATGGTAAGCTTTTATTACTATTTATTTATTTAGTCATTTTATAAGTATTGATATAGAAATACAACATAACAGTGCTCAATATTTCTCTAGGGACTGTTTATTAGTGAAAATATTGAGGGTTGGAAGGTAAAGCTGTGCATAAATAAAGCACAAAACCAGGAGGTGCAGCAACTCCACACTGTACCTCATGTCTGGGAAAATGTTCTTTTTTTGTTAAGATTGTGTTCAGATGTGTTGTGTTCTCATGTATGGGAAAGGTTGAGCTTAACAGATGATGTTGTCCTTGACGGTGTGTGAGTTGAGAGACCTCTGCTGTAGCCTCTGTTGCTGCCATGCAATAATATGTGGGACAGATTATTAATCTGTATGTGCTCTGACTTCTTTACATCTTGAATAGATGCTAAGTTCATTCGATTTCTAATTAGCAATTGCTAAAGAAATGCTTACACAATTGAGAAGTTAGTAAATGACTTCTGAGGAATATTTCTGCAGTATAAGGCAAAAGCCTGTGGTCAAGCATGCTTGCTTTCCTTTGCTGTGAAAGGATGCAAGCTAATAGAGGAGGGAGAGGAGAACATGTATGCAACTTGCTGGATACATACACGTATCAAACAAAGAGAGCTTTTTCTAAAAAGATGGGGAGGATGTTTATAGCGGTCTCAAATGAACAACATTAGATGGAAATGTAAAACCCAGTGAAAAGTGCTGTTGGCGAGTGAATACACCGTTGTCTACATGGAAGTGATGTAAGAAAGCTGTATTTCTCATGGACGTGTAACCAACTGCTAGCCTGTAACTAGTGTAACAGAATTGAATAAAATGCGCGTTTCCTACTTCTTTCACCTGTTAGTCTTTGTTTGGGTTGTTTTCTTTGTTTTTTCTTCATGTGAAGAGCAAGCTACTCAAAGCCAGACAACAGTCCTCGTGGTGACTTGTGGGACAGTAAAATTTGATGGCAACAAGCAGCGCTACTTCAACCAGAACTTCTTGCTGACAGCACAGGCCACATCCAACAGCACGGTGTGGAAGATCGCGAGTGACTGTTTCCGCTTTCAGGACTGGGCCAACTAGCGAGGAGCAGTGCGGGAAGCGACCTCTCATTGCACGGCATGAAGCTGGCTGTTCAGCTGGCCGCCCTGACTGCGGGCTGCGCTCAGTCTTCGTGTTGCATCTGTCGTTATGGAAGGTCTGCGGATGTCTCAGGCTCAATCCCAGTGGCCGTTGGCTTTAATAATAAACGATCTGAAAATGTAACGGGTTGCTCATGTTAGTTGAAGGTAATGAAATGCCGAAGGAGTCAAACCTAAGGAAATGCTGAAGGTAATGAGCTGTGTTGGAATCATTCCTAAAATGCCTTACGTGCAGCTGTGCTGCCACTTACAGACTTTTTGTATGTAACGCAGAAACTTTGAACACAAAATTCTCTTATTGTATAGTTCTGACCAAACGTGTAACTGCTTCAATTTGAACAGGCCTGTTTTTACAGTAGCATCTTAGCTCTTTTGAAGAAGATGCCCGCGGCGTGTACATAGAATTCTCAGAGCTACCTGCTCCTGGTTGTAAGAGGCTTGTGAGGACTGGCAGTGATTTCTGCTCTTTGTGAAAGTTGCAAATACAGCCTGTGAGTGTGTAATCTCTCAAATAGTCTGTTGGAAACCTAGTGTTACCTTCACTGAGATGGAAGGACTGTATCTTGTCAGGTTTTCTTTTGACTTAAGCATCTCAGAATTTGGTGATTGTTAATTTATATTAGTTCATATTTAGGGAATACTGAATAACTCAGAACTTCAGTGCCAACAACTCTTGTCAAATACATGTGAAGGACTTCAGCCGCAGTTTTTGTTTTGAAGTCTTGTAGTGTAAGAAATAGGTCAGTAACATCATTTCTGTCTGCTCTGTCAGTTCTGTCACTGTGAAGGACGGAATATTCTTCCCATCTAAAGTCTGCAATTTTTGAATCCCTGTTATTTTTTCAGAAAATATTGTAATAATAATAAAAAAAAGACACTAAAGGTGTGTGTTACTGTGAAGTATTCAATTTTTCTCTTTGGTGCTGTTATTCAGAACGGGTTCCTTGATTACTTTTAACTTAGAAAAAGAAGGTCTGAACACAAGTACTACCTTCCTTGTCTGCAGATTTTTATTACGGTTTTCATGTTTCTTTAACATTTTCCATATTCATTCTATTGTATTTTTTTCTTGCTTTAAGCAGCAGCTTTCATAAACAGTTTTCATGGGTGCAGGCTAGCAGATTGCCCATCTTAACTTGGGAACTTATAAAGTACATCTGAATATGGATGTTTTCATATAGTTTTACATGTGATAATACACCTGCTTGCTAATGAAAATACACGAGGGGAAATTGTTAATACTATTGCAGTGACAGCAGCAGCCATTAGGACTGCAGCTCACTTGGTTCTATTACCTAAATTGGAAAACTGTGAAAATGAGCAGTTTCTAGCGTGTATAAAACACCTGTGGTTGGTGTGATATTATCCTACAGATAACGGGGTACTTAGGTGAAATGGGTGGCTTTATGTAATTTAAAGGTGCTCTTTACATCATGGGATGTGCGTTGGAGTTGGTAACCTGACTTGCTTCAGAAACTGCTGCTATACTGAGTGGTTTCTGAAGCTACTGTGTAACTGTTTGTTTTCAACCTGAGAAATACTTGGTTTCTGCAAGCAATGTAAAAAATCCAGAATTCTTGAAAATTGTAAATACTGTAAATGCATTGTTATATCTGTGTGTAGTGAAGAAAGGGTTGCTTTATTCAGTTTGTTCTTAACAGAATATACGAGGTTTATATATTTGCATTTCTTCTATGAATTTGAGAAGAGAACCCTCAGTTTGCCTGTTTCTCACACAGCACTGTAGAGCTGTGACTGGTGTGCTGTGCTTTCCTTGTTTGTTCTTTGTTCCATCAGCAGTGTTACAGCCTGCTTACACGCACCAAACGGGTTTTGTCTCTTGAAATGTAGCGATGGGTGCACCTGTAACATTTACCTTCAAACTCTGAACACATTTGCCAGGACACACACTTATACTTGCACCTAATAAGCTTGTTCTGGGAGTAAATACTTACTGGATGTTTGGATCCAAGTTCTGATTTGTATACTGATTTTGAAGCTCTTTTCTATGCAGAGTGGGAGATTTTGAATATCTGAGACAATGTTTTGATCGTTTTGTTCCTATCGATTATTTTCGTGCTATTTAAATATACACTGCCTTTAAATCTGGCTTCTGCAAATAATATTTAAAAAAAAAAAGACCTGCCAGACGTGTTATGTAGGAGGCTTACTGCCTGTCTAGATGCACAGACATGGTTTATACTCTTATTTAGTAAGATGTATAGTTGGAATTGGACTTGGTGTGCATATGGGGATATTGGGAGGGAAGCTTATTAGAGATCAGCTGCTTTAGTCTAGGGGAAAGTACTAGCTGTGTGCTGTCTATTTACAGACAGAAAGCCTCTTTCCAAGTAGCTGGATAAGTTAGGGATGCTGCAGCTTGTTATCACTCCTGCGGTGAAGTTAACAGAAGAAAACGTAGAACTGCTTTTTATTCCATTACGTACCAAATCAGTCAGTGCTGGTTTAATGTTCCTTCTTGTTGACTGTGCTGTAATGTCTGAAGTTTACGCCAGACATCCGAGAAGTGAACATGTTTATGCTCTGAACTGTAACCAGGAACAAATATGTTTTGCTTGATAAGCAAACTATTAAGTTTTGCTTGATCCCAAGTCAGTAATGTACAACCAGACAGTGAAACAAAGCCAGGTGAAGCACTTCCACGTACTAAGCTGTGGCAGCTGAAGTCTTGATAGACGTTCTGTGTTGTGTGCTTTCCCTGTATTGTCTTTGTAAGTCATTGTTCTTAATGTTGCTTTGTTATTCGACCTTACTGCAGTTAAATTGACCTAACATACTTGTACTGTTCCTCGGGATGGAGAAAAGCGGTTTGTTCTTGTGATGCAAATGACACTTTTCATATGCTTGCATTTCATTACCATGACTGGGAAAAAGCACATTATAAAAGAAATGCTGTTTTATCAGCACTTGGGTATATTTTGTAAGTTTTCAGAGTTGTTAAAAGACTTCTTGTAAGATTCCATTTTAAAAAGAGAAAGCCCCTTTTTTTTCCTTAAGACATTTTCGTAGCTTGTTCTTAAGATATTAAAGTTCAGGAAATAATTTGTGGCTTCTTTATCTTTACTGCTTGTGTTCTAGCTGTGAGTTATGTGTTCTGATTGTTGCAGCTGGCGCTGGGACACTGCAGAACAGGCGATGTGTCAGAAAAGTTACTTGGAGTAATAAGTAATCCTCTAGCAAATGCCAAGAGCACTGTGAAGCAGTAAATGCTGTTGAGCTGGCCAGAACATCACTCTCAGATTGATGTTTCCCACTGTATGGAGGTCACTGGCCTGAACGAGTGACTGAGCACCTGGTGCAGGGGCATAGCCAGCCCTGGGAGCACAGGTGAAAGCAATTCACCAGTGTGACCAGAAGGGGTGGGCCCAGGGTCTGCCCCTCTCTGACCTCATTTAAGGGCTGGCAGCCCCAAGGGAAGCATCTGCTTGGAGATGCTGCCTTTGGAGCGCTGGGCAAGCCCTGATCCTCAGGAAGGGGTAAGTGATTCCTCCTCTGTTACTGGGCTGGGACGCTACCCTTGGGCGATCCAAAATTGCTGTTGCCTGTCCTTACTATCCTTACATCCTCCTATAGAAATTTACTGTTGTTTTGACTTCTGTCCAACAAACATTTGAATGAATGAAATATTTGGATGAAGCCAAACAATTTTTTTTCCGGAATCTTGGATTGTAAATATAAAAGTATTTACAATCTGGTAACACGTTGTTGAGCCTCTGCTCTTTCTGTGCTAGGAAGAAACAAGGCACTTGAATAAGGAGTGTTTCATGTGGTAATTCACATGCTTCATTCTATTTATTTGGTTGTTGATGTTGAATGACTGATGATCACTTAGTGTGGATGGCTTTTGGTTGCTGGTAATGAAGAGGATGGCAGCGCAGGGTCAGAGTCTGTGCAGAAACAGGTGTTGTTCTAGAAGCAAGTACTGCTAACTATATTGTAATGTTTTTGCTGTGTTTGAAGGTATGGATTTTAGTGAGACTGCAAATAATCACTTCTTAGTAATTATTCTGAGAAGAGCTCTGATAGCTGATGTAGCGTAAAGAGTGAGGAATGCTGGGGAAAAATAAATCATGGCTAGGGATAAAACACCAGTTATTTTTGCTTGTGTGCAGAAGTGAATTTAGAAACTTACTGAATTTAGAACCTTATGGATGATCTGGATGAGGAGATTCAGGGCACATCCAGTAAGTTTGTGAATGACACCAGGTTGGGAGGAAGTGTTGAACTGCTTGAGAGTGGAAAGACTACAGTGGGATGTGGATTGGCTGAGGCCAATTGTATGAGGTTCAGTGAGACCCGGTGCTGGGTCCTGTGCATTGGCCACAACAGCTTCATGCAGTGCTGCTGGTTTGGGACAGAGTGGCTGGTGACCTGTGCAGCAGGGAAGGATCTGGGGCTGTGAAGTGAGAGCTGGCTGTGCAGGCTTGAGGTGTTTGAGTTGTGATTACCCACCTTGCATCCTGAACAGAAATAAAGCTGTGTCTTCCCCCAAGCACTTCCAAGGTGTTCCTGGAGACTGTAAAATTGACAGCAGCACCAGCTATGGTGTGGCCAGGCATTATTTTAATTCAAGTATGCTCAAGTGGGGAGGGAAAAAAAATAACTTTTAGTGCTTTAAGAGAGCGTTGCACTCTGCAGTGATGGTGTGTGGTGGCTTCCGCAGGGCCAGAATCAGCTCCCAAAAAATGACTTCTTGTTCAAAGCCATAGAAAATACAGGAAGCATCACTGTTCTTTAAGGTTTCCAACCGGCAGATAACGTGTTATCTTATTTAAACATCTGGTTGAACCGTAACTATAAGGCAGAATAGATGGACTAATGAAAGTTGCAAAGTGCTACAGTTGACCGAGACCAGGTAATTCTTTCAGGTGTTGAAATGTACCAGTAGAACTGCAGATAATTAGAATGGGGTGCTTTGTTAGTTACTTGGCAGGAGATTTTGTGCCTTATTTGAAATGTTTTCACAAGGGCTGCCCTTTTTTTAGACAGGATCTGAGTGTGGTGTATCGTGTTATTTGGGGGGTGAGTTGTGTTGTGAAGATACATAGTTGGTGGTGTTGGTTGGGTGCTGGTGCAGGGGGACCACCACAGCTATTGTGTGGTAATCTGTAGAATGGAGCAGTGGAAAATAGTGACTGATACTAAATAAAACATACTGAGAGCACATTTAAATGCGAATGTGTTGAAGCGTTAACACATGGATGTCCAACCTCTTGGGGTGCCTGGGCCACACTGAGTGAAGAGGAATTGCTTTGGGCCATGTATATGTAGGTCTCTGAAAGTAGTGCCGCCTCATTATTTCCACAGATGCAACAACAGATGCAAAGAGCACATAACTACTCGATAGAGCAAATTCTCAGCTACAAAGCACTGTTTTTCATCAGCTGTGTTTTCACCAGCAATGAACGAGAGCCTGCATGCTCATCAAAATCCCCACTCCTCACTGTGCTCACACCGCTGCGTGGTCTCTGGAAACATGCAGAGAGCAGTAATGAATGGCAGCTGACATTCATGGAGGAATTCAATTCCACCCCTTTGCTTCATCCCACCTCACGTCAGACACCACCGTGTCAGACTGCCCCTCTGCTGCCATCTGCCACACGGCAGCAGCAGGTAATGAGATACTGCTGGGAAGGTTCAGCCTCTGCTGCCATCCCACCGCTGCTGCCCCTGTTGAGGACCAGTATCATAAACAGGGGGCGTTACTTTCAGAGCAGCCCATGTGAAATATATACTGTACTCAATGTACATAAGTAACAAAACTTATTTTAACTTTTAATGTTTTAATTGAAATATATTTTTAAAAAGCAACAGAACCATAAAACAAATGGGATGTGTGACCTTGTTTTTGTGAGAGCAGT